GAGAGAGAGAGAGAGAGACAGAGAGAGAGACAGAGAGAGAGAGAGAGAGAGAGTTAGTTCTCAAGGGCCAAATTCCTAGAACACAGAGACTATTTACATTTCCAGCACTGCTAAAGCATATTTTCAAACAAGAAGATCTTCAAAGAAAACAGTACTGTTGGACCAGCAAGATGGCTTAGTACAGTGGTTCTCAACCTGCAGATCTCAACCACTTTGGTGGTCACATCTCAGATATTCTGCTTATCAGATATTTAGATTAAGATTCATAACAGTAGCAAAATTGAGTCACAATGAAAATAATTTTATGGTTGGGGTCACTACAACATTAGGAACTATGTTAAAGGATCCCAGCATTAGGAAGGTTGAGAACCAGTGACTTAGTGGGTGACAGGGCTTGACACAGAGGCTGACAACCAGCATCTGATCTTTAGGACCTACATGATAGGAGGAGGAGGCAATTCCTGCAAGTAGTCCTCTGGCCTCCACACATGTGCATTGGCATTTGTGTGCCAGGACACAAACCTTCATGATCACAATCAGGAGCACACAGACACACACATTAACAAAACTCAAGGTTTAAAAGGTTGTACTGTAGCAAATTTGCTAGTAGAATAATCCTTTCTTGATGGATCTTAATGGATCCAAAAGACTACAAAGAGCTCATGTTTGTTTTTATGTAGCTGATTCCTAATGGATATTTTGCTTTAAAGCTCTATCAAAATTAATGAGGAATTAGTGTATGAAAGTTGTGCAAATAGTTGAGAGAGTAAGCCTAACACTTTCATTAGGGTAGTGTAATGAAATTACCATTAATTTTCTTATTAAAGACAGAGGGAAATGGAATCTATACAGAAAACCAGGCCCACGATGAGCAGGCCTCATGCCCAAGATTTATTACTGTCTTAGGGTTTTCTATTCCTGCATAATCATCATGACAAAGAAGCAAGTTGGAGAGGAAAGGGTTTATTCAGCTTACCAAAGGAGGTCAGGACTGGAACTCAAGCAAGGTCAGGAAGCAGGAGTTGATGCAAAGGCTGATGGAGGGATGTTTCTTACTAGCTTGTTTCCCCTGCCTTGATCAGCTTGCTTTCTTATAGAACCCAGGACTACCAGTCCAGGGATGACACCACCCACAATGGGCCCTCCCCCCATTGATCACTAATTGAGAAAATGCCTTACACCTGGATATCATGGAGGCATTTCCTCAACTGAAGCTCCTTTCTCTGTGATAACTCCAGCTTGTGTCAAGTTGATACAAAACCAGCCAGTACAATTGACCACCATGTTTCTCTACTATTTGTCAAGTACATAATGTCCTATTTTGACCTCTGGGAGCTTTGTTACTCCCCCTTTCCATGTTGACTTAAAACAGCTCCAAAGAAAGCATTTCAGGTTAACTATAAAAATATGATTCCCTGGACTGGAGAGATGACCATGTGGTTAAAAGTACTGACTGCTCTTCTAGAGGATGCAGGTTCAATTCCCAGCACCCACATGGCAGCTCGCAACTGTCTTGTAACTCCAAGATCTGATGCACTCACAGAGACACACATACAGGCAAAGCACCAGTGCACATAAAATAAATTATATTTTTAAGAAATCGCTTTCTAGCTTCCATAGTTTGAGTTCTGAGTATGCTGAGGAGGAACCAATCAGTTTATGTCACCTAAGCCTTCTAGCCACCTGCAAACCTTGCAAGAAGAAAAACAGCTTGCAGCTGGAAACACATTCATGCCACCTGCAAGGAACACCACATTTCCAGTGTTGAAAGGAACCTAAAACTAGGCAGGCTTGCCTCAACCAACCTGCGCTTTTAGAGTGTTTCCTGAAGGCCCTCTCTTTCTGCAGAATGTAGTGAGGAGAGTTGGAGGAGGATGGAATGCCTCAGGAGCCTTACTGCTGACATGTGGAGGTCATGATGCTGGACATAATCCAAGATGAGGGGTGGTGTTGTTGCTTCACTTGTGCGTGCTGAAACAAAACACAAAGAGTATATTTAGAGTAATAGTTAGGCTACAAGAAACTGAAACTGTTAAAAACATAAAAGATTAGACAGCTCATTTAGGATTTCTTAAAAGCTGCTAAATGGAGATGTTTAAATGAGATTACCAAACACAAAACCTAAATGAATTAAACAGAAAAAGCCAACAGCCAAGCAAGCCCCGCATTACATTTCCATCCTTCCAGATTGGCTTTCCAAAGGAACCAGCTCAATCTCTTTGAAAAATACCATCCAGTTCAGTTAAACCAAAGCAAGCTGGAGGCAAAAGAAGCATCTGTCTCTCTTTACACTTACACACATGCACAGAGAGGGGAGAGGAGAAAAGAGAGGAGAGGGAGGGTACACGCTTTACTGTTAAACACACAAGTGAGAGGAGGAGCTACAAGCTCGCAAAGCCTTAAAAGGGGGAAGAACAGAAAATGGGTAGGGGTTGAGAATAAAAACAGCAGAATGAACAGGATAGCATCATAGTGCAATACAAGAACAGCCAGCAGCCAGTGTCAGAAAATGCCATGGACTACTTCCTACAAGATAGGTAGGTAGGTAGATAGATAGATAGATAGATAGATGCATGCATGCATGCATGCATACATACATAATACATACATACATAGATATGTAGATACATAGATAGGTAAAAAGAAAAAAGCTGCAAAGAAAATTTTGTGGCTGCTTCTCCTACAGCTTTCTTACACAAGGTTAACTGGATCTTAGTAAACCAATATACAAAACAAAATGGAGAAGGCTTTCATTTCTGAAAGGGTCGCAAATAATTATGCTGATTATAAAATCACAGGACACTAGGGAAAGACAGAGCCCACCACAGATAGATTACAAAGTTGAGCATACGAAGGTTATTTCAGTGTGTGTCTAAAGAAACACACATGACAAACTACTGAGAAAGTCAGTTGATATCTGTGCCATAGAGGGTTTTAACTTGCAGAAAAAGATAAAAATACTATTTTTATATACTACATATATTTTTGTTTTGAAGTACTGAGAAATTAGCTCGTTTAGAACTCGGAAGTATTGTCTTGAATGGCCACGCTAACATATAATAACAAAGTTCTATGAGGCAGAATTTTGAACCTGAAGAATTATGAATCAGGATAAATTTATGCATTAGAACTTTTCTCCATGAATATATAGGACACAAAGTTCCTGGGTCTCTGTCACCTACTACTAACTACTACATAACTTGACTTAAGTAACTGGAGTAAGCCGGCCGGTGGTGGCACACGCCTTTAATCCCAGCACGTGGGAGGCAGAGGCAGGCGGATTTCTGAGTTCGAGGCCAGCCTGGTCTACAGAGTGAGTTCCAGGACAGCCAGGGCTACACAGAGAAACCCTGTCTCAAAAAAACAAGACAAAACAAAACAAACAAACAAACAAACAAAAGTAACTGGAGTAAAGGAATTCAGATTGTAATACTGGAAAGGTTCTTTAAGGTTAGTCTGAACAGATCATAAAGAATAGCCAAGAGCATCATGTCAAAACCAGTTGGGAGATAGAGATTTGGAACATCCAGAGAATAATTCAGGAGAGAAGCAAGCCCAGTCTAATGTTCAAAGGATCTTCACAAAGAACTGCATTGTTTGAAAGCTGTTCACAGAGTTAGGTATGAGCTCCTTCCTAGGACAGATTTCCTAAGATTTAGGCTACCTAAAGATAATAATATGTCTCACTGTGGGCTAGTGAGTCACCTGATACTAAATATACTTACTCTGCTCTCCAGCTTACTTGGTGGGATTTGCAGAGCAGCACTTAAAAACCATTGGCATCAGATGGACATGCCAATTCTGATTTTGTAGGTCTGAAGAGATCTCATCCCCCTCCCTTTCAGCAGGCTTCCAGGTGATTCCAAAGTCATTAGTCCATGGCCCCATACTTTTTGTGGTAAAGATGGAGTGTGGTTAAGAACACTGACTACTCTTCTAGAGGTTCTGAGTTCAACTCCCAGCAACCACATGGTGGCTCACAACCATCTGTAATGGGCATGCGATGCCCACTTCGGGTGCGTCTGAAGACAGCGACAGTGTAATACATGAAATAAAAATAAATAAATCTTAAAAAAGAAAAACAATGTTTCCCAAATACAGTCCTCTGTGTGTGTGTGTGTGTGTGTGTATGTTCCCTAACTTGGGGGCAGATGATAATTAGTAACAAGTTAAGAGGTTTGATGAAGACACATCCAAGTCCTCCCCCCAAAAAAGTGTGACATCATGTTCTTTTGTGGACCTTACAGTCATATCTTGAGTAATAAATTATGCACAACAATTTCAAAGATGAAGTTCGCTTCTATTTTTAAAAAACAGTGCTTTCATCCTGAGCTTAGAAAGTAACCACGGCCAATAATTTATTAGTTGGTGGTAACACAGAAAGTGAAAAAGAAGGCTCTAAAGTTCACAATGATTTCTATAAAGTTGGGTAACTGTCAAAGGAAATGCAGTCTCTCGAGGCCACAAATTGTAGCCCTTGTGTAGGCGTTCTGTTCTTTCTCTACCCTGGCATTGCACAGATGCCCCTCTTGGATCATCGATTGGTCATACTTTATTCTGCTCCCCCACTCATCCCCCATAAGTCGGGCTTTCAATCATTGCCTAGCCTTCAATGAAACCTTCCCTGGAGAAATCTACAAGTCTGTGTGCAGCTCTTTCTCAAGCTGTAAGCATCCTTTCGTCGTTTCTCTTCTGGAGAAAATAATACTACAATCAACAAGAGCCAAGACAGACCTGCTAGTCCAAGTCTGTAGCCCCAGCTACTCTAGAGGCTGGGAAAGAACAAGGGGATGGATGGCCAGCCAGCCTGGGCAATTAAGTCATATCATATTTGAATACAAACAAATAGCAGTGGGGCTGGAGAGAGAGCTCAGTGGGGAAGTGCTTGACTGACTGGCATGTGTGAAGCCCAAGTTGTTTCCTAGTACTCGGCAAAGAAAGGACAGGAACAAAAAATAGAACACCTCTCCTGTTGCCTTCCTGAGTTACAAGCAACAGCATCTGATTCATAGACGTCCCCCTTTCAAATCTAACTGTTTGGCCAGGTTTCTTGCTTCTTTTTTTTTTTTTTCTATTTTTCTTTCTGAATGAGCCTAGATCATTCTGCCTCCTCTACCTTTCCTCTATTATCCCCCTCTTTTAGCCTCTTCAGCTACTTTTAAAAGAAATAAATGAATCAGGCTGAGAGAAAACAAAAATCAAACCTGAAGATTCCAGTGTTAGGAATTGTCCTGCTTCTCAGGGCAAATACATGTGACAACATGTGTATTGCTGCCCTGTAGATGATCTCCTAACAAATGGTAACTTAATGAGTCTTACTCTGAAGTAAATGTATATATATATGTTCAGGGGTGGGTCTTAACTTGGAATACATATGTGCATATTTATGTATGTGTATATATATATATGTGTATAAACATATATATATATATACATAGAAATGAATCATTAGTTATATATTTGTATCAAACCATATAGCTTAGATTTACTTCTTCTTAGTATATTAACAATCCTTACAGCAAAGACTGTTGACTAAAATTCAGTATTTGGTAAAATTAACTCTGAGCACTGTTCCATCTCTAAAGTGATATTTGATAAACAAATTCCCAATGTCTACTCAATCCCAGACATTGCTCTAGCCACGAGGGATATAGTGTCTCAGAGACATCCATCAGCAAACCATCCGTGAACACTTATCAAATTATGGCTGGAAACCATGGGAACTGATCCAGGTAGGGAAAGGACAGAAACAGTTTCACCCGAAATAGCGAAGGAAGGAAAAACATTTGAAACAGGGGAACAGTACCTGGAACCATCCACCAGCAGCCTGAGAGCAGTCATCAGAACACACAGGATGGAAGGAGAGAACTGAGTACCACTAGCTGTCTCTGACCTTCACACATGTGCAAGGTATGGTCATGTGCATGCAAAAACACAAACTCACAATGTAAGTGAAAAAAACCTTTAGATAATAAATTTCTAGTTTATATGAACCTTTGATAATGTTAACAACAAAGCATCCTAACCAGGCCGTGATGGTACACTCCTAGAGTCCCAGTACTAGGGAGGCAGTGGCAGGCAGATCTCTGAGTTCAAGGGCAGTCTGGTCTATAGACCAAGTTATAGGACAGCCAGGGCTACACGAAGAAACCCTGTCTTGAAAAACAAAGCAAAACAAAACAAAACAAAAAATAAGCATCCGAACGCAGAAGTATAGATTTTTTTTTCTTTTTACAACAACCATGCTGACTAAACAAACCAATTATGTGGAGAAGCAGATAAACAAAGGTTTTCTGGAATTCTTTGAAGTTCTGCCCAACACATATGTTTTGTGCCCAAGGTACAAACATAAAAACTGCCATTTTTTTTTCTTAAAGAAAACAAAAGATTGTGACTGAGTGCAGAGATGATGTTTAACAACAATTAAACAACTCAGTGAAATGCCTGAGACCTATTAACTTCGAACAGGAATATTTACATTTGCTGCATTTCTAGCTCAAGGACTTTAGAACAAGGTATACTGACTGCCAGGCGTAAACTGAAGTCAGAGCTACAAATATATGAAGACTCACCTATGCGATTCCCATACCTTCAACATTATTTGTATAAACAAGGACTGGAAAAAAAACCCACCCTCAGACATTAGATATTTCAAAATATGTCTAGCTATTCACTAATGTCCACATTCTTCAAAAGAAGGACATTTGTCTTGGGGGGGGGGGGAGTGGAGTTGAAATGACTCACAATGAAACACACATTCCCAACAGGGAGAATTTTTTAAAAAATATCTACGTTCACTTTGCAAGAAGTCACACCAGCACACGGGAGTCTCCATGGAGTCCAAGTATTTAGTGCTGTGTTCGATAACAGCGACTAAAATGCCGTAGCACATTCCATAGGCAAGGCAAGGAGATAGCGCCTCTTTCTCAGTTTCTGGCTGAAGTCCAAAAAAATCTTCCTGGGCTGAGAAT